TCGATCCTTCTGGTAACAAGGAATAATATTGATAAGAACAGGCAGATCCATCAGGTCAACGAGTGGCTCCCAGATTGGTGTAATCGGAAAAATTTTGGGTTTTTTGACCATGGGATGATCGACTCAACACCTGGTCTGCTGACACCTGATGGGATGCACTGACCTCAGAGAGGAGAAAGAGTTCCAGCACAGGAGCCAGAGGGATTGTTGACTGAGCTTTCAACTGGCTTGGAAGGGGGAAGGAACAAACCCAGGCTCACCAGGGATGAGCGACGGGGTGGAGCAGTGCCAAAACTGGAGGAAATGAGCACTAATGGGATCCCTCAATCTGCTTTCATGAGTATTGGCTGCAATAGACCACACCTGAAATGTTTCTACACCAAGGCACCAGCATGAGGAACAGACAAGAGGAGCTGGAAGCTTTAGCCCAGACCCAGAGGTGTAAGTAGCAGTAAGCAGCTGTTTAATAAGGGCAGATCACCTAAGGCAGCTCAACTGTTGCTCTGTATCGTTTTGGGCAGGGGCAGCTCAAAACCATGCCCGTGGTTTTGGGAGGAAGGGGGAGCTGGAGCTGTGTTTGCATTTTGGGGCTCTCCTGTCCTTGCCCCCCCCCACCCCCTCCTGCTGCCTGAACTCTGCCCTCAGGGAGCTGCTGGAAGCGGGGCTGCCCCGCTCCTCCCTCTCCTGTGGGGCCACCCTGAGTCACCCTCACGGAGGGACTCTCGCACCCACCACGATGCAAAGGGGCTCAGAATCAGCGGGGCTGTCCCTGCCCAGAGGGTTCCTTCCTGCTGCCCCCGAGCAGGGAACACTCTGCTGTCCCAGCAGCAGCTCCAGCCCTCCTGCTCCCCCAGCAAGCCCTGGGTCTCTGTAGGGCCGGTGCCCAGGGCTGGTGAGCCCAACCCTCCTCCCTCTCATCTATCAGGGGCAAAGGGGATAAAAGAGGTTGATGCCTCCACTGAGTTGACGGCTCTCACTGAGATTTTTTTCAGTCACCGCTCCCTTTTATGCAAATAAAAGTTTATTTTTTTTTTTTTTTAGTTAGCTCCTCTGTCTCCTGGCTATTTATGTGTTTCCCAATACCTGGAATTTTGGAACAAAAGGGGAAGGGGAAGGGGAAGGGGAAGGGGAAAGGGAAAGGGAAAGGGGAAGGGGAAAGGGGAAGGGGAAGGGGAAAGGGAAAGCTCCCATCCCCACTGCTCAAAGCAGCATCAACTCCCTGCGTGTAGCAGTTATTAATAAATAATAAGTCCCATGGGGACCATAGTGACACCAACGTGATATGTAACAAGAGAGAGAGATTTTATTCAAGGAGTCCCGGCTTATATAGCAGCTTCAAATGCTGCCACGTCACACAGGTAACTTCTTAAGCCAATCCCATACAAGCATTCAACAGAGCATGTGTGACAGAGTACTTAGAACTACAACTCCCAGGATGCCTTGCAGCACCTGGTGTAACCAGACCCCACAATTCCCCCATTTTTATTAATAACAAGATACAAAAGAGTGTAAATTCAAAAAACACTGCAATTCTTAACAAAACGTTTTTCACTAGACATAGTAAACTTATTTCTTGCTTAAACTTCATATACCTAAGAGTTCTATGTAATAATAAAACTTCATTAATCAAAAACCTTATTTACCTAAGGGTTTTTTTGTAATTGGGTAGAACAAAAACTTTTATCAATCTGAGGGTTTATATATAACTGGGGAAAACTTACTTTATTAAAACACAAGGAAAAGTTTAAAGGAGGAACATCATGTTTTGAATTGCCTTTTATTAAGGCGATGTATTAGAAGTAGTGTTTGCTGTGTTTCAGATATTTTGTATAAGGTGTAAATGGTTCACATAGATTCATACATTCACACAATTTCTCATTCACTCATTCGGGTGGTCACCCCAATCATTCTTCATTCATGCATACATGTAATCTTTATTTTGTCTTCATATTCTAGCTATACAACTTAAACTTTTATGTAGTGTTTGGTCAGAATGAAAATCGTTTGACTCAGGATTTACTTACTTAATTACATGCATATTCTGTCTACTCCCCTTCTTTTGTTGTGAATATGGAAAGCTAATGAATTTAAAGGTATAATACTGGTAAGTAGTGTGTATATTTCTGAGTGTGTACTTAGAGAAATGAATAGGTAGGTTACTATTACAATCTGTTAATTAATAACAATAGAAATTCTTAAGATGTTAATTACTACTTAAACGAGATAGTTACAAACTTAAACTTATTTAGATACATTTAAGAACTTAATAATTTTAAACAATACTCAGTAAATGTGATTATTAGTAACTTAAACAAAGCTATAGGGAAATTAGAAACTTAAAAATGTATTAATAAGGTAATGTTGAATTTTTCTCTATTATTAGTGTAACTAAAAAATTAAAGATAGTTAACTAAATTATTTTAGACAAAAACATTTCTAATAATTTCTAAAGGCTTATATGTAAAACATGTAAAAACAGTCAGTAATATAGTGTCTGTAGTTTTGGTCCCAGCCCGGGTCTTTCACCGGGTCGCCGCCGCCTCTCTCACGGGGGTGGAGAGGCGGTGTTGTCACTGTTGACGCTCCCGGAGGAGCCGGAGTGGCTGCGGCCATGGCCCGGCCTGCTCACGGTGGGGCCATGTTGCTGGTCATCGCCGCCGGGCCTCGGCTCGGCGCCGCATTGTGCCACATGTGCGGCTGTCCCGGGCTGCGCTGCTGCGGCCGCGTGGTCCGCTTCAGGGGAGCGGCGGCACGGGCGGCTGGCTCGTGTAGTGGGACGCGGCCGTCAGTTCCAGGCACGGCCCGGCCGCCGGCACGGGCTGCCCGCGCTCCAGGTGCAGGCGGGCGGTGAATGCCTCGCAGCTTGCGCCGCCGACACGTGCTCGCCGAAGCCGCCGCGCGCCTCGGCGCCCGAGCCAGCTGCATTTACAAATTTGTGCCACACGTCCCGGCGCAAGCCTGCTCGGCCGCCCGGGATGGCCGCAGGGCCGCCCCGCGGCTTCTCCTCAGGCACGGCGGCCGCCTCCCGGCCGGGGTTCCACGCGGAACTCCGCCGAGAGCTCTACGCGGGTCGGGCGCGGCGGCAGTCGCCGCCAGCTGCGGCGGGGCTTCCGCGCTCGGGTCACCGCCTCCCGTTCGGCCGCACCTCGGCCGGACCTTGGCCCGCTTGCGGGCTCCGGACAGAGGCGCCGCGCGGCGGCGCCGCTCCAGCCGCCCGGCTCCTCCACGCTGTGCGCCGGGCCCGCCGCTCCCGGTGGTGCCGCGCCGCTGCCATCTGGGTTTGCGCAGGAACCGCCGCCGCAGCCTGGTCGACACCAGCCGGCACGGCGAGAGGAAGTCGCCGTCGCTGCGGAGCCCCGGCCCGGAGGCGCCCGCCCCGGGGGGCCGGAGTCGCCGCCCGCCGCCAGCAGTCCTGCGGAGCCGTGCACAGCTCCGTCCCCGGCCTGACTCGCTGCGGCTGCCGAGCGTCCCGACAGCCCCGCGCTCTGTGCCCGCCGCCGGCCTCGCCGCTCGCAACGTCGAGTGGCTATCACGTATCTTTTTTAAACATCGCGCCGCTGTTGCTGGTAGGCACAGCAGCTGTTGTTTAGTTACCGGCTCCCAGCACGGACCATGTTCCATGCCTGCCTCCAGCAGAGGCAGTCCACAACATGGCCACGAGACAGGAAGAGAAGGTACTACTTCTTGCTCCCGGCATGGGCAAGATGGTGCCGCCCATGCTCCGGCGTGGTCTCCACGTGTCTGCAAGTTTGCCATGGCTTGGGATTCAAAGTTTGTTCCCTTTACCAGTCACATAATCCGCGACACGCGCTTTTTCTCGAATTCACGCATCCGCGAAAATTCAGTACAAAAGGTATATTCTAAGGCTTTTCTTCCGTGCTCTCGGACTCTCTCCCCCTTTCCACACTGCGGTAGCACGTGGAGTTCCATGCTTTACAGTGTTTGCGGGAGGGGAAGATTCAAAGTTTCTCTCTGTGGACGAGTTCTCTAGCGAGGGTTTTAAAGTGTCCACTTTTTTTACTTCTGTTTTCTCTCTGCTTCTTCACCCCTCTTTCCAAGCAATTTCACTAAGAATTGTAAATAACAGTAGTTCTAAAACAGTTATTTTCATCAATTTTAAAAGTCCAGCTATTTTATGTTTGTTAACTTGTCTCCAAAGTCTTTTCAATATTAAGCTTAAGGCTTTTGCAATATTCTGTGGTTCACGTGAATTAAAAGTTTTCATTTTTTCTCTTTTTCTTTTTTCTCCCGCCCTCTCACCTGGGACGTAGATTTTTCTTCTCGAGAGCGTCCTCTCAAAACGTAGGCAATTTCCTACCGAATTCAGGCCTTTTTTCGAGCTCAATCGCGGTTTCTCCCGCCTTCGCCCATCAGAGTTTCCTTTCCTCTGGTACCTGGCGTTTCTTTCTTTTTCACGGCGGACGTCCCTCAGCGTTAAATATAGGCTGGTACCTGACGCCTGGTCCGTATTTCTTCCTGATTCAGGATAAGGCTTAGGTCCCTGTTCGGGCGCCATATGTAGCAGTTATTAATATAATAAATAATAAGTCCCATGGGGACCATAGCGACACCAACGTGATATGTAACAAGAGAGAGAGTCAGATCTTTATTCAAGGAGTCCCGGCTTATATAGCAGCTTCAAATGCTGCCACGTCACACAGGTAACTTCTTAAGCCAATCCCATACAAGCATTCAACAGAGCATGTGTGACAGAGTACTTAGAACTACAACTCCCAGGATGCCTTGCAGCACCTGGTGTAACCAGACCCCACACCTGCGTGCCAGCCCCAGGCAAGTGTGTGTGCCCTGCAGGCCTTGGCTTTGGCAGGAGTACTTCTGGGGGTTGTGCAAGGAGCGGTGAGTACAGGGGGGAGTGAGTGGGGAGTGGTGGTTTGATGGGGAAGGGGGCTTTGGCCACATGGTTTTTCTCCCTGCAGTACCAAGCAGCATCTCTGAATTCTCCCCATGTCACCAGACCTTGCTTCCACTGGGCACATCCCTTACTTTTCTGCCTTATCTCCAAGACAAGATCCCTGCTCAGCCAAGCCGCCTTCTGTCTCACCTGCCTGACTTCCAACATTTGGGAATCGCTGCTCCTGTGCCCTCAGGAGGTGATGTTTGAGAAGTGGCCAGCAGTGATGGACGCCAGCACCTGCAAAAGTGTTTTCCCAGGGGACCTTCCTTCTTAATTCCCTGAGCAGCCTGAGTCTGCTCTCCTCATGGCCAGAGCAGAGGTTTTGCTGGCACTTTTCCTCCTGTCAACAGAGATTTTTAACTTGATCACTTTAAAGGTCACTGTGGCCAAGACGGCCCCAATCTCCACTTTGCTCACAAGATCCTCTCTGTGGACAAGCAGCAGATCAAGGAGGGCACCTTTCCAAGTCAGTTCCTCTAGGACCTGTTCCATAAAGTTGTCATCCAGGTTTTTTAAGGAATCTTCTGGCCTGGGTTGTATCATCTGTGTGATGCTCCCAATTAACTTCTGGCAAGTTGAAGTCCCCCATGAGGACAAGGGCAGTGTACTTGGAAGTGTCCTTTAGCTCCCCAAAGAATAATCCATTGGTGTCACTGTCCTGGCTGGGAGGTCTAGAGGGGACTCCCATGGTGATTTTGGCATTATTTGTTTGCCCCAAGGCCCCCCCACTACCCCCCAATAACTGGGACTGGGACTTGGAAGCTTTACTGGGAACACTGGGAGCAGCTGGGCAGGGGCAGAGTGACAACAGGGGACAGGATGACACATGACACCCCCCAAAATCAGCACAGGGACAGGGGGTGTCCAGTCTGGGCCCGAGGCCATGGGGAGGGACTGCAGCCACTGCCAGCTCAGGATCTCTGGGGGGAGAGAAAAGGGGGTGACATCAGCATTGGGGGGTTCCCTGGGGGGGGAAACACACTCTGGGGAGAGGAGGACATGACCCCCGGGGACCCTCCTCACCTTCTGGCACAGGTAGAAGCCGAGCCCCAGCACCAGGAAGATGAAGCCCAACAAGAAGCCCACGAAGCCTGTCAGCATCTTGCTGTGGGTGGTGTCCAGCAGCATCTCTGGGGGCCCAGGGGGGTCAGGAGCCCCCAAAACATCTCACAGACCCCTGCCATGACCTCCTACATTTCCTCCCAAAGTTGCTCCCAGCCCACTCAGGACTCCTGAAACCTCTTCCAAGTCCCTACCCAGCTCCCCTAGGAATCTCCAAACCCATTCCCAGCCCTTCCAGCACCATCCAACCACTCTCCCTGTTGTCCCTGGTCCCCTGAAAAGTCCCCAAACCCTCCCCCAGTCCCTTCCCGGAGTGCCCAGGAGTCCCCCAACCCCTTTCTCATCCTCCCCATTTTTTCAAATCACAACCCTAGTCCCCCACCTGGCTTCCCTCAACTCCCTCCCAGGTACCCCCAGGACCCACAAACTCCCTCTCAGTTGCCTCCAGGACCCCCCAAACTCTGTACCAGTTGCCCCAAACCTCTCCCAAACCCCTTCCCAGTAACCCCCAGGACCCCCAAACCCTCTCCCAGCTTTCTGGCCGTACCCCAGTGCCGGCTGAGGGGGTGCTCCAGGCTGACGTGCTCCACCTGGCAGGTGTAGGTGACCCCGCGCCGGGGGGGGATTTCCAGCATCACCAGCACCTGGTAGGTCCAGTCCCCGTTGGGGACCACGTCGGTGGCCATTACGTGCTCCGGGACCTCCTGCCCGTCCTGGAACCACCTCACCTGCACCGGCGCAGGGTAGAAATCCATCACGGAGCAGAGCAGGCGGCCGGGGCCGGGCTGGGAGCTCGACGGCACCAGCGAGATGGACACGCTGGGGGGCACTGGGAGAGAGCAGGGAGACACGGGGGTGAGCCGGGAGGGCATTTGGAGAGAGGGGAAAGGGTGGGGGAGGGCACTGGGAGGGACTGGGAATGGACTAGGAGGGACTGGGATGGACTGCGGGGGTACTGGAAGGGAGTGGGAATGGACTGAGAGGGACCGGGAGGCCGCGTACTGCTGAGGGCACTTGGCGCTGAGGGTCTGCCTGGCAACTGATGAGTCATCAGAGTGGCGCGATGTGATTGGCTGAGGGGCGTGAATACGAGCCGGACACGCCGGGGGACGCGGGGATGGACTCGGAAAGACTGGGAAGGACTGGGAGAGACCCAGGGGTCACTGGGAGAGAGGGAAGAGGTCTGAGGACGAGGCAAGAGATCACGAGGAGGGCCCGAGGGGTCTGGGTGATTCCCAGGGAGGTTTTGAGGGGCTGCGGGGTCATTCCCGGGGCAGGGGCCGAGGGGACACGCTCTGCCCCGCGCTCACCCCTGCGGCTCTCGAGGTCTGGGGTGGACACCTCGTAGTTGTGCCGGCAAAACGTGTCCACCTGAACCCGGCCCTGCTCCAGCAATTCCGGCTGGCTGTTCCAGTGCTTAGCCTGGATCTCCCCAAAGGGGGTGTCCCCCACAAAGTGCCCCAAATCGCTGTCGAAGTGCACGAGCTGCTCCCGGTTGTAGATGAACCTCTCCACGAGCCTCACGCGGTCGGAGCCGTCAATGAAATGACACTCCAGCTTTAGCATCCACTGGAACACCCCTGTGTGAGCAGGGACACAGGTCAGAGAGTGCCCACCCCTCAGCAGACCCCAACGCCCCCCAGCAGGTTGGGAGCTCAGGGGGCCACGCCGGACCCCTCTTTGTCACCCCCCTCTGCCCCACGGCCGCCGCAGCACCGGCTCTTGGGTAGGGGGGAGTCTGGGGTAGCCTCCTCCCCCCAGAGCCCCAGGGAACTGCTCCAGTGCTCAGGTGATGTGGGACACGAAGGGACTCCATGGACCCCCTCTTCCTGCTGTCCCACCTCCCCTTATCCCCCTCTCTCACACCTTTCCCATCGTCCTGCCAAATCCCAGCGCCCCCCCAGCTCTGTTTGGGAGTGCTTCAGCCCCCACTTTTTCCTCCTCTCCCCCTCTTTGCCGTCGTGCCCCCCCCCGCTTCACTCACCCGAGAGCTCCTCGCCCGCAGCCGGGGGGGCTCCCAGCACCACCAGTACCACCAGTACGGCCCCAGCTCCCCCCACACGGCCCATCCCCAGCGCCGGGCAGGTGCTGACACCCCAAAAGCAGCCGGGCTGTGCCGGACGGTCCCCAAAAGCGGCCCCGGCCCGTGCGGCACTGGGAGCACCAGTCCGGCCCAGTTCGGAGCGGGCGGGCAGGGTCAGCCCCCCCAGGCAGGGCCGGGCCCCGCGGGCTCCCGCCCACACTCGGCCCCCGCCCCCCTGCCCAAATTGCCGTCCCGGGGGCGAGGGGGGGGTGCCGGTGGGGTCCGGGCAGGGAGCGCTGGGTGCTGTGGCTCTGCCTGGCAACTGATGAGTCATCAGCGCCACGCGCTCCCATTGGCTGAGGGCTGTTGGAGGCCCTCCTTGTGAGCGCTCCTATTTGGGGGGGAGAGGAGGGTTAGAGGGTGCTTGGTGGGGGGGAGGGGAGGGAGTGGGGTGGTTTCGGAGTGGTGAGAGGATTTTAGGTGTGTCCTGGAAGGGCTAGGAAGGTGTTTAGGGGATCTTGGAGGGGTTTGGGGGGAGTCCTGGGTAGGCTTTGAGTGGATTTGTGGGGTCCTTGGGGGGCTGTGGTGTGGTTTATGGGAGGTACGGCGACTTTTGGGGGGTGCTGGCTCCCATCTGGGGGTGCAGGGGCCTCCTAAAGCAGGATGACATGCGGGGGACACACAGAGATCCGCGTTCCTGATCCATTCTGGAGGCCAGTTGTGCCCCTCCCAGCCCCAAACCTCAGCCTCCACTGCGTGGTGCCCCTAAGCCCCCAACTGCCCCCCAATAACCGGGACTGGAGAGAACTGGGAAGCTTTACTGGGAACACTGGGAACAGCCAGGCGGGGGCAGAGTGACAGCAGGGGGTGGGGGGTGATACAAAACTGTGGGACCCTCTTTCAGCGCCCACAGCTCAGGGAGGTGCAAAGTGCCGGCGATTCATCCCTTAGAGCGGGACAGCAGAGCCTGCGGGACAGGAATCTGCAGGACAGGAATCTGCGGAGTTGTGTAGCAATAACAGGGCAGGGGATTTCCCAAGAACACAAGGCTTTGTTTGAAGATTTTGCAACGGATATGGAATGCAGCATCCAAAAGGTTATGGATGAGCAATTGGAACGTTTCCTTTTGTGCATGCTTTGCGACCGATGAGAGCAACAGAGCCTGATACAGGGACACAGGAACAGTGAAGACAATATTATATTTAATTTGGACACCTTGACAGTACACTCTTTTTGACTTGTTGGACGACCTCTCCAGGGAGAAGGAGTTATATATGTATTACCTGCCCTTTCTATCTGCGCTGCTGATCACCCTATTTACATCCCCCACTGACGGGGCTTTAGGACCTGCGGTGAGCGGGTCTGTCTTCTGCCTTTACTCGTGGTAATCTCCCTCGGGCGAGGGGGCCCCTTTGCTGCTTTTAATCACTTCCAATTTACCTCCGGCGGGGGATTTCCTTCCCCCTCCTCCCCCTGCCGACCTTAATCACGGTGCTTTTCGTGAAATGTGACTGCTTTTGGCTGCGTCCCGCCGTGCCAGGGAGAAAATCAGAGCCAGCCGCTCCCCTGCACTTCTCTCACCCCCTCTCTCCGAGCCTCCACGCTCCGCAGCTACCAACACGTCAGGGCTGAACTGCAACCAGGAGATGGAAAGAGGAGGGGGGAGATAAAGAAAGGAAGGGAGAACAATTAAAAAAAAAAAAGGGGGAAGGGAGGTGGGGTCGCTTGTATACATGAATCATCTGAAGAATGAACACACAGCATTGGAACCACTGAATCTGCTTGATGAATGAAATACCTGTAAGTTTGTTCTTGGTAGTTTAAAAAAAAAAAAAAGAAAAGCAAGTTTTTCATATGGTGTGTTTTGTGATTTAAAACAACAACCACCAACTCCTAGGTACATTAGATGTGCTCACGCACATGCCATACTAGAGATTTAAAGAAAAATGTTGAGAATACTAAAATTGAATGTTAACAACAAAAAATGTTAACATATTTTTAACAAAATAATGTTAAAACTTCAGAGTGATGGATTGATTCTATGCCTGCGTCAGGGACCTGAGTCGTGCCTGAGACCCTGCCACGGTCCATGATTGAGCTCCTCGATGTGGTAAGGGAGAATATCGTGTAGTTCCACTGTTGGGAACTTGACTTTCGGGAAAGAAACAAGAGCCGTTCTTGGCACGGAGTTGGCACCAGGAGCCGTTGTGGTCTCGGTTCGAGCGCTGGCCACGCCTGAGCCGCTGGGGCAGCTGGAAAATGCCGCTCCTGCCAGGGGGATGTCAGAGGTGATGGGCTGGGCGGGGCAGGAGGATGAGCTGCACGCTGCTTTGATCCAGGGGACTCCCTGAAGGTGCATCATGGCCTGCCTGCCCCTCCCACCACGCTCCATCTTCTTCTCCTGCTCAGCGGCTTTCCAGACATTCAGGAGTCGATATGAATGAATTGCTGTCACAAGTAATAGGATAAAGCTGCTTTGCTTATGCCCTTTGTGTCTCAGTGTTTGTGATTTTGGGAAATGCTCACAAACCCAGAATAATTCCAGATCGTTTGTGCTCTTAAATTACGTACAGGGAGATTGTTTTGATATGTGTTTAAATCTTCCTTGAAAATACAACTGATAGAAAACAATGTAAAAAAGAAAAAAAAATAAAAGAAAAAAAGAAAAAAAAGAGGGGGAAAAAAGAAAGAAAAAAACAGGGGAAAAAAGAAAAAAAAAAGGGGGAGAGAAAAGACAAAGGAAAAACCCTAAAACCTTAAATGTAATCTTATCAACCGAGCCTATCCCAGGTGCAAGAAATATGTGCTCTGCGTTAAAAACCATACTCTTAAAAAAGGGGGAATAATGACACCCCAAGTAGATAAAGCTGTATTTACCCTTAATTTTTTGCATTTAGATCAATAAGCATTGTACAAAACCCCACAGGAAGATACCTAATGACAAGGTCCCATCGAGTGGTCAGCGTGGGGAAGGGCTCTGCTCGTGTTCTGTCTCCCACAGGACCCTGCTGGCTTCCAGCACGTCTGAGGAAACCTTGCTGTGAGTGGACCCCACACACAATCCGATTCTGCAGATGCAGAGGCTGTCCCTCAAGAATCCCAGGAGGAGACTGATGAATGCTGAGCAGCACAAACCCTATCCAGATGTCACATGGAAGACAATATCCTAGGGATATTTCATTGTATCACTAACTCTTACTGACTGGCATAAGGACTCAGTCGTGGTGTGTGTCTCTCCCTCAGATGCCTTCTTGGCCACACCTGACACTGTGATTAGCATTACTAAACTAATGAAACTGTTAACACAGTCAAGAAATCATCACTGGATGCCTAATTGCTTTGACCATCTCTGCAATAATCACAGCAGCTACTGCAGCCGTAGCTACTGCAGCACTGGCCCGTTCAGCACAGGCCATGCCCACAGTGGCCAGTGTATTGGGTAACAGGTCAGCATCAATACCAGGTCTTTCAATAATTTGTCTGTTTTTAATGTTCCAACTCCTCTGGAAGAGCATCAGACAAGCCAGAAGACAAGAAGCCTGTGTATTTTGCTGTCCTCTGATATGTCAAGGTATACGAAGTAGTAAGTATTTTTAAGTCCACACACATGCATGTCCACACAGCTTTTCTCACTCATACAGCTTTTTTTTTCATTCACTCAATAGGTGGCCACCTCAGTCACTCTTCACTCATACATAGCTAGAATTTTTGTTATACCTTTGCATTTTAAACACCCATTTTAGATTTTAAGGGTTATTGGTCATGTGTTTCTCATTCTGTCATTTTTGGTTGTCACGTTTAACAACTGTACCTGTTCTGAAGAGGAATTAATACTGGGAATAGAAGGCTTAACAAACCTAAATGAGATCCATTCTGATCCAGCACCCATTTATGTGCATGCATATTCTCCTCCCCCCTTTTTTGTTTTGAAACACACGTTTGGTGTGTGGTGCGTTTTTCTGGCAGTAGTTGTTCTATGAGTGAGTTTTGTTTAGAAAACCAAAAGCCAATGAATCCAAAGATACGTGGACAAGTTACTATCACAATTTGCTAACACAGCTTGAAATCCAGTCTTCAGCCAGAAATCAGTTTGCCTTGTTTGTGGTGTGTGGGATACAGTTACCTTTCAGTTCCTGTTCATCCACTCCTGGTTGCTGCCTTTTGTCCTGGTGAGAAACGAAGTCTCGAGTTGTGGTAGCTTTTTGGAATAGGAATTTATGTCATGGAAAAAGCAAACAGCATGCTGGACAACAAGGGGGAGTCTTTGCTCCAGAACCCCTGTGTGTCCCCATCCAGCGCTCGGCTAACATTTATTCTGGCTACCTCATGCATATTCATTACCTCATATACAGGTACATTTCCCAATACTATGCTAGGAATTTAACATATGTTTATTTTCACAACTAGAGCTCAGTTGTTATCTCTACAACAGTGATAGTTTCCCTATAATTCATACATTCTTGGACAACAAGGCACCTTGAAGATCATTGACTTGACAGAATTCTACCACAGCTCTTCTTAGGAATGCAGAGATGCTTTATGGCTTATGACCTTGATGACCTTACAAATGGTTTACTTTATCTCTTTATGGGGTGCAATTAAGTTTTACAATCCGTTTGTTTTATTCTTTTATGAGCCTCTAATAATCCATTTGTTTCTTTTACTGACAGGAATTATAGCTGTGTTTATCACATCCTTAATAACAAACTTAGCAAACCTGTTAATAACAGCTTAGACAGTCTGAAGTGAGAATGAGCAGAAACAGATGTGAGGGTCAGGCAAATATGCAGGTTTTCTGTAGTCATGTCCAGGAATACTTGAAGTCAGTTAATAAATTGAGGTAACTGCAATAAGTCATTTTATGCTAAATTATCTTTTTACCTCAAAGCTGAAGGTTGAGGGGTGATCTTTTGTTGTGCAATTTTCTCTACTGTAGATAGTTTTATGGTTGAGTGTATGAGATTCTTTTTGGAGTGTTTGCAGTCCTGTTTCTCAGATTGCATTGGTTAGAACAATCATCATCTGTTTTAACTGAGTTTCTTAAGTAATTAGGATTTACAAGCAGCTATTTTTGCATTTGCTGACATTTTACACACCTTTTTGGGATAACAGAATATTTGAATGCATTAATTAACAAGATACGGAGATGCTTAAAACTTTTTAAACACATGACTGGAACAAAATTATTATACCAGCCTAATCTATGTAAATGCTTTTAAAACCTTTAACAACCCTAAACAAGTTATATGGAAATTGGTGAAACATCAGGGAAAAACTTTTTAAGCTTCAGGTTTTCAGGGCAATGGAATCCAAGAAGAGGGGCTACATCACCTTTTCAGGAAGAAAAGGAGCGGGGCTGGCCATGGGAGGAGTGAGGGAGTGGTTATGGAAATCAAGAAACCTTAAAAGGCCTCGTCCCTCCCATTCTCGGGGTGCTCGGACTCGGTCACGAAGCCCGTGCACTCAACACGTTGTAATTAAAGTTCTTTGTTTCACTTTATTTGGCCGCCTTTGAAAGTTTAATTAGAGATATTTCTCACACTCCAGTCTCTATTCTTGAACCCTGAGGGATTCCTGAGTCTATCTCAGTACCTGAGGGGGGTAGGAGGGTTGGAGTGTTTTCCTGTGGACGAGTTGGTGTTCTCCTGTAAAATCTTTCAAGCGTCCACATTCTCCTTTCTTGGTTTTTCTCGTGCTGTCTCTCCAAATTTTTTTCAAGCTGTCACATCAAGGTTTTCAGTTAGTAGAAATCCTGAGACAGTTATTTTGCCCATTTTAGCAATTTGACTAGCCTGGTTTGTGTGGTTTCTGTTGAATACTGCCTCAATAATAGACACAAAGCTTTTACATCTCTCTCTATTTCCTGTGCACTCATTTTTTCCACGTCGGCTTCTCACCTTGAGCTCACTGCAGCTTTTTGTTCCTTGGTGTCCCTTTGTGGGTGTAACTTCGCTTTTTTTTAGTTCCCAGCTCAGTCCTGCCGAGCAACGTCCCCATCTGCTTTCAGCACTGGTCTCCCCAAGTCTGAGTTTTTTTTCTTCAGAGAGCTTTCCTCAGCTTTAAAACAAGCTAAGTCCGAATGCAGCCATGTTCTTCCCTGATCCAGGGCAAGTCCTTGGTCCCTGTTCCAGGGCACCACTTGTAACTTATTAATGGAATATAAAAAGACACGACCTGGCAGTCAGGGTTCCCAACAACCAAATCTTTTATTACCAAATCTTTTATTAAAAGAAGAAAAGCAGCTGTGGGCACAGAGCAGAGCACACCCAGAGCTGGATCACCTGGTTTATGGACACACAGCTTCCTTTGGACACAGGGGGATGGAGATGTCTTCACTCGAGGGGCTCACAGGTCCATGTACAACACAGGGAATAGATTTCAGATGGATTTATCCATCACACATTGTCAATATCTGGTGCAAGTCATAGATACACCTTTGGTTCAAGGCATCCAGAAGACATTTCTGATGGGTGTGGGAAGGGCTGCGCCTGGTGGAAGGGCTGGGTGTGCACATGTTGGCATGGCCAGGCCTTGTGGGGAGGTGTTGCCCTGCCAAGCCAAGCCCTGGCAATTCCCCACCAGAACTGGTGCAGGCGAGCCCAGGGGTTGGCACAGGGCAGGTTCCTGGGGACAGGGACAAACCCACTGGGAGTTACAGGGATGTCTGTAAACCCCCTGTGCTGTGGGGGTGCAAGTGGGGTTGGGAAGGGAAAGGAGGAGAACACGGTGAGAGCAGGAGCTGGAGGAGCAGCCCCAATGCTCCCAGCTCCCAGCCCTTGCCCAGCCCAGCAAAGCCCAAGCAAGCCCAGCCTGGACCCCCCAGCCCCGTTTTCCCAGCTCAGGAGCTCTGTCAGAGAGAACAGGCCGGGCTGGGCGATTCTCCCTGGGCACTGGCTGTGCTGGAGTGCTGCCTGGGCTGGCTGAGGGAGGACCTCACCGGGCATAGGTTGTGCTGCTGTTCAGCTCTTGCACACGAGGCTTTAGAGGGAAAAGGAAAGTCCATTATTTGCCCTGCTGGCTGCAAATCCCTGCACAAGCCTCTGGCCCTGGGCTGCAGGAGAGCTGCAGGGAGCTCGGCCTTTGGTTAACTAGGACTGACTAACATGACAGCAGGAATAATGACTAATTGAATTCAATATTGTGCATCTATTTTGCTGTTGTTGTTGTTGTTTTTGCAAAATTTGGGTTCTTTTTCTTTCTTTCCCACTTGAATATACACAAATTTTACATTAGGCATTTAGTCAAGAACAATTTTAAAACAGAAAGTGTTTGCAGAAGAAAACAAGACAAAATAATTTTGGTTAAAAAAAACTTATAAGCATCGTTTTCTGCAAGTGGTGCCCTTTTGTTCTTCCTAGGATCAGTCCTTTGGGACTCTCCAGTCCAACCCACCTGCACAGACCCCGACACCCACATCCCTCCCCTGGGCCCTGCTCCCTGCTTTGGCACCAAGGCTGTGCCACAACTCACCCTCTTTGCTCCAACGTGGGCGATGGTGGAGTCTGGTGGGGGGCAAAAAGCACAGAGTGAGCCCTTGTTTCCATTCTGGGAGGGACAAGCCCCACCCTGCCTTTGAACAGCAGATCCCCCGGGCTCAGCACTGAATCCCCTGCCCTGTTTGCCCCTCATGTGCCCCCATCCTGGCAGCAGAGGAGGCTGCCCTTCCATCTGTGGATGCAGAGCAGGGATGGGGGGGTGTTGTCTCCTTTCCTGTGCAGGCAGGAGCTGGGCTGTGTGTGCAGGGAAGAAGTTGGGGAGCAACAGCCTGGGGACAAATCTGCCCTTGTTCAATGGGCAGTTGTTCTGCAAACCCTGCTGGCACATGAATTGCTGGGATTGCATGTGGAATTGGGAAAGGCCCTGCAATGAGGGGAGGGGATGGAGAAGATGGAAAGGGGGTTTGGGGCAGGTCCCTGCAACTTTGGGGCAGCTCCTGAGGCAGTGCCAAACCTGGCTGATGGTCTCAGGACTGGTGGTGGTGCCAGAGGCAGCCAGGACACAAGAGGGGGTTCCCCACAGGCTGAGGGCTCTGTGGGTCACCCAGAGGGAGGGGTTGGTACTCACAGTGTATTTCATTGTCCTCAGTCCCTTCAGCCACGTGGCTGGGAACTTGCTGCTGCCTGGAGAGAGATTGGGGAAAGGGTTTTGGGGTCTGTGTCCTCACCCTGATGAGCCCTTTGGAGTCATTGCCAGGGATGATGTTGTCTTGCATTGGGTCCAGGGTTGGAGTCAAGGCCAGGGCAAGCCCTGTCCCTCCCTGCCTGCACCGTGGGGGAATCCACCCACGGGCACAGACCAGGCTGCCCCTGCCCAAGGACAACCCCAGGGGTCTGGGATGGCTCCATCTCCATCACCCCCCATCCCCACAGCCCACAGGGATTGCTGCTCACCTTTGGCACCTCTCTCTGCAGGCCCCTGCAAGGAAAAGAAAGGGAGAGGTGGGAGGCAGAGCTCCTGCACAGCCCTGGCGTTCCATGCTCTGGGCTGTGCAGTGCACATGATGGGCTGAACCTCCACTCCTCACTCACAGAGGAATTTTTCAAGCCCATCCTGTACAATTGTGAATGCCCTTTCCCAGCCTGGCCTCTCCCAAGCTCTCAGCAGCTGTGCACAGCCAGAGTGTGGAGCAGCTGTGCTGGCTCCACCCAGGCCAGCTCAGACACTCAATTCTTGTGCCCAGAGGATGGGAGCCAATGTGTGCCTGGGGCAGGACACCCCTTTGGCAAAGTCTTGGTCATCTCAGCAGCTTTCCTTGCCTCATCTGACAAAGGAAAGGCCTGAGAGGCTCAGCTTCCTGAGAAATGGAGTGAGGATCCAGCCATCCTAAACCAGCACGGCTCAGACAGCAGCAGCCCCACATCAGGATGCAATTCCAGCCTCAGATTTTCTCCTCAGTATCCCAAATCACTCACCTTTCCTCACAAAGCAGTAGGTGGCTGCAGCCAGGAGGAGGAGAAAGATGGTCACCAAACCTATCATGAAGTGTGAGGAAAAGGTCTTGAAGCCCTGAGGATTGGTGTCTGGAGGCAGAGAAGCTGTTGGGAAGAGGGGCAGTTATGGGAAGCCGCAGCAGAGAGCAGGATATGCCCTTAGAGCCAGGCAAGATCCCAGCTGATGAACCTCCCAATGTCCTGGTGGTGCCAGCTGGGCAGCCCTGGCCCAACGCTGAGGGACACGGGGTGGCAGGGAGGGAATCACTCACCATTGGTGGCTGTCCCTGCCTGGGGGCTGGAGCCGCTGCCTGGGAGGAGAAAGGCACAGGCTGAGAGTCTGCAGCTCCCCCAGCTACTGCACACACTGAGACACTGTGGGGACCCCCTGATCCACCATCTATCAACTGTGGGGATCAAGAAACGAATGCCCTGCCCAGCTGGGGCTCTGCATTAGATGTGGCACCCCCAGTCTCCCCTTTCTGTGGTGCTGGGGCAGGAGAGGAGCAGGATGCTCTGCTGAGACTGGGAGGAGTGTCCCTGGGGCCAAAGGCTGGGCTGAACTGCACACTGACCCCCAGCATCCCAACTGCCTGGGCACATGGCATGGGGCAGGGCAGGGTCTCCTGCCTCACATGGGCTCTGGGGGGCTGTGATATTGTCCTGCCTGTCCCCAGTGCCACGACTCACCTGAGACACTCAGGATCTGGGGAGCACTGAGGGCCGAGTTCCTCAGTCGGTTGCTGTTGTCCATGTAGTGGTATCCACATGTGTATGTCCCTGTGCTCCACCTGGTCATGGGGAAGAGCATGGAGTAGCTCCCCTGCTGCTGCTGGGCTTTCAGGCTGCTCACCTCCACCCCATCCTTGCAGAAGACAATTTGGGTGGCAGGAGACTCCATGATTATTTGGCACTGAATCAAAACCTGTTCCCCCTCCTGTGCAGCTCTGGGGTTTATGAAGAGGTCAGGAGCTGGGAGGTCACCTGGAGATGGAACAGGGAGTGCCTGAGACGGTGTTACTGCTGTTGGGTATGGAAAATGCTTCATACCTGGGAAGGGAAGGGTTTCCTCTCCAGGGGTTCACACAGAGGGAACAAAGCCCTTCTCCCTTCCCACCTCCCCTCCCTCGTATCTCCCTTTACAGGCCCTGTCCCTGTACTCACCATGCCCTGGGGAGCTGCAGATGTCCTGGGCCATCCCACCAGCACCTGCACCGTGGGGCACAGAGGGGTTTGGTGAGAGGGGCAGCAACCCAGCTCAGTCCCGTGCCCCTGTCCACCTTCCCTCTGCTGAATCTGTGCTGTTTGAGCACCTTCCCAGCCATGGGGCTCCATCCTGCCTCTGCCTTTGTCTCCTGTCTTGACATCTCACAAAGCGCATTTTGGTTGGGATTTTGGTTCCAAGTGGATGCCCCTCATGCCCTAAAACACTTCAGCATCTGCCTAGTTTTTGATTATGACCTGAATCTTCTTTAAGGGGTGTCAAAGTACTCCCTTTGCTCAGAGGTCCCTGGGAGCTGGAGGAAGCAATGGTCCTGCTGCCCTCCCCAGAGCAGCTCCAAGGAGAAACTTTGGGCTTCTGGGAAGGGCCTGTCCACTAACACAGCTCCCGTGGGGAATAAAGAGGATGAGGCAGGGACCTGAGTGTGGTTTCAGGGCTGTGATCTTGCTGGGATCAGGGAGATGTGGTGGATTGGCTTCCATGACTGGAGTGTTGCAGTCGAGCCACATTGTTTTTTAGGAGGGACAGCCTTGGAAAGCAAGGAGGGGAATGAGCCAAGGGAGAGCTCACGGTTTAAGATTCAAGAGAGGAGAGCTCTAGGTGACATCTGAGTGGGAGTCTATTCCAGGCCATCTGACTGGGAACACATAGGGGATGAGGACTCTACAGTTGGACAGGAGCAGCTTCACATTCCCAGGTCCTTGTTATTGTGGGGGACTTCATCCTCTCCAGTATCATCTAGAGAGACAACACAGCAGGCCACAGCAATCCAGGAGGTTCCTGGAACTTCCTCCTCCAAGCAATAGAGGAGCCAAGGAGCAGTGGGGCTCTGCTGGACCTTCTACTCACCCCTCACAGGGCTCTGCTGTTCTGCCCACCAAGGTGCCTCCAAAAGGGCACTGTCACCAGCCAGCCCGTGCCCAGGGACCTGCCCTTGGCTGAGCAGATCAGCTCTGCCTTTTTCTATTGGAAAACTTGCTGCCCTGATTCCCCCCGCTGCTCATTTGGCAGATGAAGGCAGGAGACTGGGGACAGAGAAGGAGAGAAGGCTCTGTTGTGTCTCCCTGGTGAGTGGTTTAGTTCACAGAAGTGGAGACAGGGCTTTGCTGCAGATCTTGCAAGTTGGAGCTGCAGGTCCTGCACATGTGAGTCACAGAGGATTTGAGAGCCCAGGGCTGCAGGAGCACCCTGTGGTGGTTGCACTGTGAGAAGAGGGTCACATTTGGTGCAGCCTGTGCACATCCCTGGGGCACAAAACAGACACATTCAGAGCCCAGTTGTAAGTGAGTTGTTGCTGAGCTCTGCACAGTGGTTCAAGAGCTGCCTGGCCCGTGCCTTGCACAGCACCTGGCACTGCTCCTGCTGCAGGGCTGTGGCCAGCAGGGCCTTTCTCACAGGGAAGGGCTGTGGCGAGCGGGGGCCCTGCCTCAGCCCCCACTGCGGCCGCTGCGCCTGCAGAGCCCCTGCACCACTTTGGGGGAGGTTGCAGAGGGCTGGGGGACCCCTCTGGCTGCTCAGGCCAGGCCTGACCCTGCTGCTCTGATCTCTCAGCTCGGACAGCAAGTGTCCTCAGGGAGGAAGTTCTCTGGCTGTGCAGATCAGCCACAGCTGCACGGGCTTGTATTACTGACACAGTTGGGGTTTTGCAGGGCTTATTTTCTCATGGGTGCAGTTCTCCGAGCTGGGAGATCAGAAGAGGCTCTCTCAGGGGCAAGGACTGACCATCACAGCACTGCCAAACATCTCTGATCAGAGCCCAGCCCTTCATTTCTCTGTTTCGAGGGAAAAGCCATTCTGTTGGATCTGGCAATGACCAGAGTCTTTCCTCCCTCCCCGTTCACATCTGATCTGGGGAACATCGTGGGAGAGGAAACAACGAGTACAAATTCAGTCTGAGTCAGTGTGTTTTAACCTAACAGTTCAGCAGTGAAGATGTGCTAATCCTAAACCTGTTGTTCTGTGTTGCAGTTGTCCTGAGCTCATGGGAAGGACAGCAGGTGCTGGACTCAGCTGCTCACACACAAACCTCTTGTGACAGCAGAGATGCCCCGGGCTGTCCATCCCTGTACCCCCAGAAGGGCACAGCTCTGCTCCACAGGAGAGCTGCCTCACTCATGGGTTTGGGGGCAGAGCAGTTTAAGATGTTTTCAGGTTGAAGAGTCAGGACATTTTTGATTTCAGGTGCTCCATTGCCCTGCAGGAATTCTGGAGTAGAAATTTTATCAGGGGAGTCAATCAGGGCCTATTTAGGAGAATCACATGAAACCTTTGGATAAATCCCTTAGGGTAAGGATGTTTATATGCAATTCTACTTCTCTCCAAAATATGCTCTGAGCCCTTCTAAGATCATGGTCTATGCCATGCTGAGAAGATATTGAGGAAGAGGAGAGATTCAGCATCAAATGGAGGCCCAGGGTTTGCCCACTCACAGGAATTTCTTGCTGGGATGACTTTGCTCAATGTGTGAGCCAAAGCTGTCCATATCCAAACAGCCCCATGTCCAGTTGGCTGCTCCCTCCAAACCTCATCCTCCTGAGAGGAGAACACACCCAGCTCCCAGGGATGAGGGGCATTTGCTGATGTCTTCCAGCATCACTGATTGACAGATGCACCCCCAAAACTTTACTGCTGGGGTCGCAGCTGCATTGGCTGTACCTGATCCTGAGCACCCAGCTGGAATCGGCCCTCCTTGAGCAGTGGGGCTGGAGCAGAGGAATCCCAGAGGTGCCTCCAAGCTGAGCCAGTGTGTGAAAGAGCCCCCAGTGTGGGAATTGCCTTGGGGGAGAGGGGGCTGTGGAGGAGGAGCCCCTTGCAGAGGTGTCCTCTCCTCTTTGCTGTGTCTGTGCAGTTTGTGTGTGCAGGGCAGGAAAACCCCTGCAATGGAGATGTGTCTGCCCAGCACTTGCAAGCAGAGCTTCTGGGAGGGGAACGAGCTGGGCTGGCTCTGGTTTTACTGTGAGCAAAACACTCCTTATAAGGCCCTGCAAAGGTAGAGGGTTGGGGTTTTTTACTCTATGATCTAAAATAATCAAACCCACAGAATGGAAAGACACATTCTAGAGGCAAATGAGTGACTTTCCTTCTCCTCTGTCCCTGCAGTGACTGTACAATTTCACTGGCTGACCAGTTCCCAAGGCCCTGTTCCTGCTGGATTGGCCTGATGAAACTTCCTTCAGTTCAGCCAGAACCTCTCCTGCTTCAGTTCTGATATCTTGAGATTTATTCCTAAATGTGTGATACCAAAAATAACTTTTAGGTCAATATCAGAAGAAATGATTGAGTCACTCATATGATAAGGTTGGGTTTACATCATCTTCACAAGATCCCCTGATGACAGTGATTACTGAGGACATGGTAATTTGAAAATAGACCTCCTGTGCTCGGCTGAGATCTTTTCCCTCCCTCCTCCTTGGTTTAGAGCTCTTCCTGCTTCAAGCACCATGATCAGCTGCTGCAGGAAAGGACGTGTCTCCTGTGAGCCTTGTGTGCCAATGATCAGACCTGGGCACAGGATCTCTTGGGCACCCCAGGAAACTCAAGTGCCACTGGAAACCTCCTTGCCCAGCACTGGATCTGTCAGGGTGGGATTCACAGGGCTGCCTGTGTTCAGCCAGGAATTTCACTCCAGTTCAGGCAGAGGTCGAGGACATGACAAAGTGTCCTCCATGGTGCCACATCCCCTGAATTCAGACACCTGTGCAGGCCAAGCACATCCAGTGCACATCCAGACTGGGCCTCTCCAGACTGGCATTTGGAGGCTGAGCAAGGTCACACAGCAGGTAGGAAGTGTCTGAATGTTTCTGCAGGGTCTTCCTCCAACGTGGCTGAAGGTCCTGTCCCAGCAGTTACTGCAGGGGTGGCACAGAAGGAAGGCACAGCAAATGCCCCTGACCCACAGCCCCAGCTGCTTTCAGAGAAAGCCACAGTGCCCTGCTGGGCTGCTGCTGGTGGGAAACTGCTGTCTGAGTCTCTGGGTTCCAATGAGCAGGGCAGGGCAGAAAAGAAGCCTCTGTTGCTCCCCATGCCCAGAAGACTCCACTCTGATCAAGGAGAGAACGAGGAACAGTGTTCCAGTGTTATCCAAAGGCTATTGGGAAGAATGTGGTGCTGGGCAAGAACCAGGACACGGCACTGGAACCTCCTGCTTGCTCAGGGGTCCTTGTGACGTCTCTTTCTGGGACAAGCAGGCACTGGGTGAGCTGCCCGTCCAAGGCACAGCCTGGAAAGTCATTTCATTTTCACAAATGCAGCATTACCCAGGTTAGATAAAGATATCCAAAATATCTCCATGTGAAATGGATCCAAGCAAGTGCCCTGTCATTCAGCTGCCACCAGCTCTGGTGGGAATCTCACCTCTAAACCTGCCTGTGACTCTGAATACTCTCTGAGTTCCTCCTCCTCACCTCCACCTCCTGCTCCCTTCTATGTGTCCCCATCAAAGACACAGCCCTGGTTAAAAATGGCCATACACATCACCAAGGGGACGTTCAGAGTTCGGGTTTCAGCCTCTGAAAGTACTAATTATAAACTTGTATTGAGATACATTAATTAAAAAAACAGAAGCAGGAAAAAAATAAAGTGAATGTAGTAAACATATCACACAAAAATCAGAAGTGCAACTTAACACTTCATTGTGCACATGAAATGGTTCCCCTAGTGCTGTACATCCCAGATTCTTC